TCTCACATATATATATATATATATATATATATATATACATGTGAGAATGGCATTAAATTTAACTAAATAATGTCAGGAAGTTAGAACCTGGCTTGATCCCTAAATGAAATTTATTAGAAGGAAGTGGTTTAGCTAAAATAAGTCATCCCATTTCTAGACGTTCGAAAAAGGGGGTCGATGGGAGCACACCACTGATGTACTTGTGATAGTTGTCATTTAATTGTAGGAATGCAATAAGGCGCTTTATAACTTTTCAGAGATCTACCAAGGTCAATTGGTCTTGGTCTTTTCCTGGTTACTGTACTCTATATGCTCACTAATGTTGCCTATCTGGCAGTTCTCAGTCCTGACGAAATGCTGGAGGTCGCAGTTGGTTCGTCTGCAGTAGCTGTGGTCTTTGCACAACGTGCGATGCCCTGGTTGACAGCCATCATGCCTCTCTTTGTCGGAGCTTCTGTCTTCGGTAGTATAAATGGTGAAACAATGGGTGTGTCTAGAATGACATATACCGGCGCCCGAGAGGGTCATATGTCTGCTCTTCTGGCTATGTTGCATTACCATAACCTCACACCCATTCCTGCTATTCTCGTTTTGGTAGGTTCCTCTGCTCCTCAATCATCTTCGTGAGAGACTACTACCATTTAATGAAATGAATTTTTTCACCTGTTACAGCTGGTTCTAGCCGTTGCATTCCAATTCTACAGTAATCTCTACGCTCTTATTGAATTGGCAGGTTTAGCATTCGCTTTTATCGCAGCACTGGCCGTCTGTTCTCTAATCTACTTCCGATTCAAGCATCCAGAAGTCAAAACCTCTTTTTCCAGGTTTGAATCTAAAGAAAAGTCATATATTTCTTGCCTTTAATTCTTACTACTAAAGTGCCAATTGTTAACTTTCATTTCAGTTGCCAATTTTCTTCCCAATCCTCTTTCTGGTCTGTGATATGTTCATTCTCTGTTTAACAGTTTATCAACTGCCCTACGAAACTTTCTACAATATTATCATCATGTTGGCTGCCATTCCACTTTACCTCTGTGGAGTTTCTTGGCAGAATAAACCCAAGGGCTTTCAGAATGCCATCTGTAAAATTTGGACTAATCGATGCGTATGAAATTTCAATGGGATATGCGTATTGAATATTATTATTATTATATCAAATGGCAGGCGTTTTGATTGTTTTCATTAGCCCTTTAGCTGACTTCAGTCTGCACAGAGGGGATAAAAAATTCAAAAGGGGGGGGGGAGACAGAAGAGTGTATCAAAGACGAAGGTTTGGGGGGGGGGAACAGAAGAGTGTATCAAAGACGAAGGTAGATAAGGTGGAAAAAGGTGGACTGTGGAAGGGGTCAAATATGAGAAACAGTGGAGTCATGGTAGTTTGAAGTCAATTGAAATTTTATAGACTTTTTTGCCGTATGAGTATACGTTGCCCGGGGTGCACCACGTGGAGGTGAGTCTATCGCACACCCGCGTATTGAATATGGTTTTTCTTCCTTTTTCCCCGTCAATGCCACGGTGTTCTGCCAAAAGATATTCGCTTGTGTACCTGTGGAGGACGGCATCTCATTGATATCCTCAGGGGAAGAGAGATCACTTCGAAATCTGATTAAAGTGCTCCCCACTCTTAGTCCAACTTGCTAATAATAGGGCTTATTTTGTTCAATAGTCTGATTTCAACTTTAAATAATAGACTAAATTTGTATAGTGTTTTCTAAATGTTTGTTTTTCAATATTTCAATAGTAGTCGAAATGATAGGGAATAATTCGGTATATTTTAAACAAAGCCCATTTTTGTAGAAGTATGTAGAAAGCTTGTTGCTAAGCTTCTCTTGCAATGGTATAGTATAGAAGTAATAGGGGTCAAACACTGAAGGAACGAGTAATAGGCATGAAACAAATGGACTGTTAGTATGCATACCTTCAGCGGGGACTCCAAAGACGCATAGTGACCATAGTACATCATTACATTTCTATAATAATTTAAATAGGAATTGAATTAACTCATTTATCAATGGTGTGGACACAATGCGAATTGAATATAGAAAGGTGCGCAATGTGTTAGAATGCATATAAGTGTAGGTGAAAGTGAATAGTTGGAGTGGCGGCCGGGGGAGGGGTGGAGAGGAGGAAACACAATTGAGCAATCGGCTTGTCCTTCATTGGCTCTTAACTTGGGCTTCACGACAGTACCCGAGGTTCCTCACAAACGGGTTAGTCCTTCTTCCAGGCAGGAAGGAGTCATCTTTACAAAATGATTGAATGCTGCAGATAGTTTGCCGGCCTAGCGAGATCATAACTATGTACACCTCTTGGTTGCCACAGGCCGACCTCGTATTTAGTCAAAAGAGAGTTTTGGAAGTCAATTAAGCATATATATATATATATATATATATATATATATATATATATGAGTAGTGGGTGAGCCATTCAAATGAGTTTAAATCCCCCCTCTTCACACAGGGAAATCGCATTAATGTTGAAAGTGTGGAATAGTGAAGTGGAAAAATAAATTCCACTTATTACATCGGTCTGATGGAGATATAGAAGGTAGTTAAACGGTAGGAGGAGTGAAACTTGAAATAGTAGAATTCATTTCCAAAAGAGAGTGTAGATGCCACTGAATGTACTGTTGTGAATGTGGGCAAAATTTTGCTATTTGTCAAAATGACAGTACATATTGTGAATTTTCCAAACCAATCATACTTTTAGCGGTTACTAACCATAGCCGGACATAGTACTTTTAAAGTAACACCAATTAGTTCTGCCAAGTTCGTATTTGTGTCCTTGGTTGAGAATAAGAGGTGTTATCTTCAACAGCACTATTTTTATTACTCACCCATAATACAAACAAAGTTTCTATTGTCTTACTTGTGAGAAATTGACTAACAAGGAAGTTAGAAGGAGATAGGGCGAGGAAGTGAAAAGTTGCCAAGGCAAATATGAGATCCTTTAGGCGATTTGCCGTCAAACCTGGGGAGATGTACCTACTTCAGGGGTGTCATCAAGTGATTCACGCATTCATTTTCTCCACATTAATGCACATTATGTGTTTTTTTTGCACCTCCTCGTGGTGCACCCTGGGCAACGTATACTCATACGGCAAAAAAGTCTATTATTCGGCAGTTGACTTCTGGCTTCAAAACACCATCACCTCACTGTATGTCATATTGGACTACTTCCACAGTACTCACCTCACCTTTTTCACTCTACCTTTGTGTCTGTCTCTTTTACATCTTTGAAATACTCTTCTGTTCCCCCCTCCCCTCTCGACTTTTTTTCACTTTAATGTTCCTTCTTCTCTGTGAAGCCTGAAGTCAACTAAAGGGCTTATGATAACCATCAAAATGCCTGTCATTTGATATAAATAAATAAATTCGTTGGTTGCATATTTTCCAACAACGCGAGTGATGTTTGGTGGTTTAAGAGCTCAGAAGAAGAACTTCTCATACTACTGTCGTCGCTCATTACCCTATTTCGTTTGACATCATTGTTTTCTACCTCTTGATTCGGAGTTTTCAATCATGACGCCTTGAATGGCATTTTCTTTGGTTTCAAATGGATAGCTCCGCTTTTCGTTTAGTTCTCATTCTCCACATTCCACTTTAGTCCCACTTTTTGTAACTATAGTTAGATTTTAATAAGTGGTATTGTAATTATTTTCGTAATATTTTACTAGCAGTGAAAGTAATAGTACATTTTCCGGGTTATTGTTTAAATTTATTGTCCTTTTAAAGTTTGGATTGGTTAACTCAATTTACATTATTAATAAAACAAGAATTAATGTTATTTGTGTTAAAATACTGGATATTTTTGTTACCAGTGCAGTTGGTTAAGCGAATGCTCTATGAGTCAAAAAGTTCAAGGTTAGCTTCGCTGATTGTGCATGTCAGTAAGGTTACTGTCACTCAAAGCTAAATCGGCATCCCTTTAAAGGGTGTTTGGGACATAGTTGATACATTACGGTTTACACTTCTTTCCCCGCGGTCATAATCATTGGAGTATTATGCATACTTCTTAAAGTATAACAATCTGCATTAA